TTTTGTAACCCTTGTCCCATGGTTAGTTTAGGCCATAACAATCTTGGGTCAGGAACCCACATTATTAATTCTGTAATGACAAGCACACTGATAGCTCTGTAAATAAAATAGTGAGCTCTGTGACAGACATTTCTTTTGTCTTTACATAACGCATTGTTTTCACAAAAGATTCGATGGAGGGAGTTGCAGAGGAGGAAGCGGAAGAAGAGGTTGACATTGATGGCTATAATGCTGAGTGTCCAAAGACTGACACACATTCACTGCTGAAAGGTAATAGCAATATATTTTCTGATGCCTTTTCTTCCATACAGGACTCATTTCTAGTGGTTGCTAGTGAATTATGTTTCTTTAAACTTTGGGCTAGTGCAAGATAAATATAAAATAATATTAAAATAGGTCAAGTACCTTAGGAGATCATCTAGTTCATTGGGGGCCAACCTTTTTGGGCAAGTGTGTTACACATTAAGCCCCACACCCTCTTCAGGTGCCACTTCTATCCCCTTCCTCTACCCAATCTGCTGCTGTGCTACTTGCCCCCTGACTTGCCACATGCCGTACAGAGGCTGCCCGTGCTAGTTGTGGAGTGTGCGTTGCAGGTTGGCAAACCGTGGCTTAGTCCAACTTCTTGCTCAAGACAAATTTGTCTAGTCTAAACCATCACAGACAAGTGTCCAATCAGCTCTTAAAAACATAGTAACAGAGATTTAACATCTTCCCTAAGCAATGTCTTTGAGTGCTTAACTATCCTCACAGTTGGGAAGTTCTTCCTAATATCCAATTTAAATTCCCATGTCTCAGTTTAAACCTGTTACCTCTTGTTCCATCCTCTGTACACACAGAAAATAATTTATTGCAATCCTTTGTATTCTTTGTATTTGAAGGCCTGTTATTCCATTTCCCCTTCCTCATCTCTAGACTAATCCAGTATTATTAGATGGTTGACTCATCCGAAGTGTCTGCAACTCCATCCAGTTTGGTATTATCTGCATATTTACTAAGTGTACTGTCAGTTCCATCCTCTAAGTTCTTAACTGGAGTACTGGTTCAGTACTGGACCCAGTGCATGCCCCTGAGAACCTCACTGTTGCTTCCTCCTGGTTTGGCATTGAGCTGTTAATGACTGTTCTTTGAACACAATTGTCCAACTAGTTATGCTCCTTACCTTATGGGAGTTTCCTCTAGGTCAGGGGCCCAAAACCATCTGGTGGGCCAAAGTAATGCAGCCGAGGCTGAAGGCTGCCATTTGTGACCCAGTCATCACCATTGGTGTTCTTATCTCATCTTTTTGAGGTTCATGGTTCAACCCCCCTCCCCCCAATATGACAAATATGTTATTTGAGGCAGTAAACCTGCTCTAACTCCTTCCCCTTCCACTGTGGCCAAATTGCTGCCAACAGCCCACCATTGGGCTAGGTCAGCATGTTTACCTTTTATTTGTTTACCGGTCACTGCTCCCCACACCTTCTTCACTTGTCCTTTTTTGAAGTTTCCCGCCGGCACCATCCTGTCCATCTCCCTTACCACTTTTACCAATTTCTTATCATCCTTCAGGGCCTCCAGCCTTACCTTTTCTATTTTATACTCCTGCATGAATCTTTCCATCCTGATGTAATGAATTGCTGGTTGCTATGCCGATAGGCTCTTCAAAGAGGTCTGATATACTTCCCATTTCCTCAGAATTGCAGGTGCATGGGCTTGGGTGATGCATGCTGCTTTCCCGTTTCCCACCATTACTGTCTTGCATATCACATTTGGATATTTTGTATAG